GCTGGCAGCGATTTGTAAGAAGAAACATTTTGAAATCGCTGCTTGAGCAGCGACTTCATTTTTTTATTAAAAAAAAAATTTTTGGCAAAATCGCTGCCTCAGCAGCGATTTTACTTTTTCAGTCGAAGTAAATCGCTGCGTCGGCAGTGATTTTACCGTTTTGGTTTATATAAAATTTTATATACCGTTTTGGAATTTTTGTTAATATTTTTTACCCTTTGAGTTTCGGACTCTAATAATCTAAAACACTTAAAATATTTGAAGCTAAATATGCACCAGTTTTTTTCTCTATACATAGTTTATAACTTATAATTCTTTTTTGCAAATTCCAATTATGATCAATCCAATGTGCAGTAATAGTTAAATAATCATTTCCATTAACACTACGACCCATGTCCGAAGTTATAGATACTCTACTATCTAATATGCTAAATAGACAACGAAGAAATTGACGATGTTTACCTTGATATTCAAAAACATCAGTGTTAACAGTATTTCTTGAAAAGCCTCTATAATCCGGACTATAAGTTTGTTGAATATATTCAACAAAACCGGGATTTGAAGGAAAACTATAAGGCAAACCACAAACAGAAACCATTTTAGCTAAATTTTTTCGATCTAATTCCTTATTATATTTACGTTGTGTAATTGGACCAGCGGGGTTAAAAAGATCTAATGTTCCTTGAACCATGTTAGAAGCCCCTATCGATGCATTACCGGTAATATCTAATTCATTAATTGAATTTCCCTTTTTTTCTATTGGCTAATGCTTTAGCTTCTTTATATTGAATCGGCACACAAGATAACAAATGTCTATTTAATCCCCCCGTTCCACCTTGACCCCCACCTTGTTTATGTTTAAAAGGTTGCTTACACTTATTACAAATAGCAACTCTATTTTCTTTATCAAAAGTCATAAATTATCACACAATAGAAGTTTTAGGTCGTTGATACTTCACCTTCTCCCTTGTGGGAGGTATAAGGGGTGGATGTCCAAAATTTTGCTCCGGTAAATTGATAGTCTTATTTGGAACTTCTGTCACCGGACTAGTAGGTGTTTCATCTAACTCCTCTTCTCCCAAATCAGCTTCTACTTCTTCACCTGAATTTCCATCAACATTAGGATTAATATTACCATAACGTCGTTCTAAACTTTCGTGATCAAGTTGAACATTTGAATCAATATTATAAGGAGTATCATCAACATAAGTAGAATCATTTATGTTAAATCTAACTCTACTCGTTGATTTAGATGAAGTACCACCACTTTTACTATTCTTTTTTTCTTTACTATTTTTTTTACCAAAATTAAATTATTTAAAAAGTCTACTCTCTTTGTTACCTTGTGCTTTCTCTTTTCCTTTACCGCTATTTTTTTTGCTAGAACTCATACTTAATTAGATATATATATAAAGTGTAATATAAAAATAATAATAACACAAACTAAAGACGAATAATAAAATATAAATATTATGAAACGAATGTACCAAACGTCTGCGTTAATAGCAGACGTTAAACCGATTGTTGAAGCTTGTGATTTGTTGTAACTTGTAATTTGTAACTCCAAGTTTCCAACCAATATTTGATAACAAAAATGAGATAATATAATTATTTTTATTGATATAATATGAAAATTTTGAATTGAAAATTGAAATATATGGATTCTAATAATATGAGAATTAAAATTGAATAGAAATTAAGATTGACACTTGAGAGTTGAGAGTTGATAGGATATAGAAAATAGATAAGAGAAATGAGAATAGATGATTTTGTAAGAAATAGTAGAGGATAGGTGTATTTATAGTATTAAAAATGGGTTTAAGTGTAATTATAATAACTTGAGGGTTTAAAATAAAGTTTTAAAAGTAGGGGGTGGTAGGGGGTGTTTGGGAACACAAAAGGGGGCATAAATCCGTTGGGGGGCCCATTAGCCGTTTCCCCAACGGATCTAAACGGCTAATTTTTTAAATTTAAAAATAAAAAATAAGAAATAAAAATGGGGTGGGGGAGGGATCCCGCGAACCGGCCGGTTCAACCGGGCCGAGTCGACCGGGACGCAGGGGTGAACCGGCCCCTGACCGGTCCCCTCATCCCCCACCCCTTAAACCCTGGGGGATGGGCCGGGTTCGGGACAGGTCGGGGCGGGACGCGGGCCGGGGCGGGCCATCCCGGTCCCCCTGCCAGCCCTAGTGTAAGGACATGTTTTTTTGGAAATACTTTCTTTTAGAAAATACCAAAGAAACATATATAAAAACTAGGTGAAATACTTTAAGATCTTTATGAACATGCTCAGGTTTAAGTTACCGTTCTTAATTTGATTTAAGTGTTCTAGTTTAATCTACAAGCATATGGTTATATGAGATATTTGCATGTGATACAAAAGCGGAAAAGGGTCTAAAATACTCTTGAAGTATTGAAAATGGTACAAAATTACCCTTCATCCACCTATTGGCTCCAAAATGTCATTTTCATCCACCTATTGGCTCCAAAATACCCTTGTCATCCACCTTTGAGTTCAAAATTGACCACTTATTTAATAATTTTAAATTTAAACTATTTAAATATTTTTAAAATACTTGATGTTCAACTATCGGTTATAATTTAATTTATTTGTATTATTTATAAACCAACCCACTACCCACCCATTACTAACTAAACCCCACCCAATTAATAATCCAACTATAATATCAAAATCGTCATAAACACTACTAAAACACGATGAAATTATAGATTAATCAAATTGACATCCAAAATTATTCGAGTCCGAATCAGAGCCCCAATTAAATTTATGTTGAGCCGCTTATTTAGGAGGACACTTTCAATTTGATTCTCTTTCAAGATTGAATTAGAAATTTATGATTAAAGGTAAAGAAGTATTACATCCTGAATTAAAATTCATGCACTTTTTTAAAATATAACTTTATAAATATTTATGATTTGTTTTAAAACTTTTAATATATTATTTTGAAAAAAAAGTTACCTATGAAGTAACATCA